TACTAGTTTTTATATTGGAACTTGATTTTGGGACGAACTTGATTTTGGGACCATTGGAGACCGAAGTTTGTTTTTAGTTGACAAATCTACCTAAATTCGGCATGTTACGAGGTCTATCACATAGTGCCAAGGCACTCGTTTTCTTCACGGCGTTCATGGGTGAGTTGAGTAATTGTCCTCAAAGCCGATGTCAGAACTGCGGATCCAGCGATCCGTTAGTGAATTACGGGGTACGAGCGATGCGCCAGCGCTTCAAGCGAGGCGCCAGCGATTCGATAGTGCGAAAAAATGGTGGAGCTCTTCTCGTTTGCATTGACGTTCATTCGCACGTTGACTCTCGTCACTTTCTCACGCTCTCGCGAGCCTTCTGAAAGCCGCAAGCCTTGACTTGTAAATGAAGGGGATTCTCGCCAGTTTCTTAGACAGCCGAATCGCTGGTACATCTTTCGTATCATCGATGTATATTCGAATCGCTGGAATCGCTAAGGCATTGTTCGATCGCTGGCGCATCGTTCGTAAGCTGAGATGGCTGGATTTGCAGTATCTTTCATCGGCCTGATAAAGCATTGTTAGAAAAAGTATTATGTTGGCACTTCAGTATGATGTGAAGAAAAGATTTCCAGGGGCATTCGTAGCTGGATTGGACGCTGGTCTGGTTTATAACTCATGGCCTAAATTCGCGGAGAGCTGGATCCCAGAAAACATGCTCACGCGTTCGCCGTTATGGAAGAACTTTTTCGAGAATGACGTCACCACACAATTTATCCATAGAAATTTGGTGAGTTCAGTAGACAGTGTCTCGGGAATAGCTGTCGTCGTTTCATTAGCTGAGTCAGACGAGGCTGGTCGCATTTTATTAGGGTGCAAGTTGGGTAGCGGAGGTTAGCGAAGTGGAATTGTATTTCAAAAAAGAAAAATGGAAATATATTTGGCTTTTTTTTCGGAGGGATGGGGGAAGAATTTCGTGAAATTTAGAAGTTTCATTTCCATACCTTTTACCGTTAACAGCTATATGTATCCCCATCCCCTCGTCCTCTCGGAGTTTGGGAAATTGCAGTATCGACGGCCAATTACAGTATCGCCTTAAAAGATCAAACATTGGGATGGGATGGATCCACTAGCGTTAAAGGACACTTTCTCGGGAGGAGAATTTGGGAAATGTGGCTCATTTACTTGAAGAAAGTAGTGAAAGAAGGTCGAAACTTCCCGACTAAGAGCTTCCCTTCCTAGTTTTACACATTGCACGAGTTCATGGCTGAAGGTACATATTCGGATAAGAGACTTTGATAAGGCGAAGATAAGAGAAACTGTAGACGAAAGGCACCCTGATGTGGGGCTGAGCTATCAGAGGAGACAGACTTTACCCACTCGAAGAGAAGCAAGGAATACAAAAAGTTACTACTTGGGTACCCCCAGGAGGCCCGTCGCGCGGCAAGAAGGCAGAGTCGTCGGACGAGTTGCAGCGCGTGATGTGCGATGTAGGACGTGCAATGGGACACTCTTTTAACTTGACGCGAAATCCCTATAGTGCGCGCGCGACTCGTCCGCTGACTTTGCCTTTTTGCCGCGCGACGGGCCTCCTGGGGGTACCCTAGTTTTACACATTGCACGACATGGGTGCAGGTACATATTCGGATAAGAGACTTTGATATAAAAAGACTTTGATATAATAACGCGAAGATAAGAGAAACTTAGACGAAATAGCGAGAGGCACCCTGATGTGGAGGGTCCCCTGAGCTAATCAGGGGAGACAGACTTGGCCCCCACTTGAGAGAAGCAGGAATACAAATAAGTTACTATTGGTTTTCTGCCTGATTTCCCTGGAGTTTCGCGGGCTCATCGTGCTGGACCCCATCAGCGTAAAACGCTCTGATCTTTGCTACCGGCTGAGAGTCGACTGTAAGGGTCAGTAGCGGAGAGTCGACCGGTATTAGCCACAAGAGGTTTAACGGCCGCATGCTCGTTAAACGCACCTTCTGCAGAAGAAGGCGGCTTGGTCCCACTCCCTTAGAGTACCCACTACCTGTTAGAGTAGATATATGGCCGCTTTCGACCTCCATATATATCGTGTCACCTGCCTTGAGCTCATTCACTCAAAGGTGGCTGAGACGCGCGCTCGAACCTCAAGTGGATCTTTAGATGTAATCTTTGTGCCTTGTGGTAGTACTAGTATTAGTAGATCTCAGAGTATTACAACTAAGTATTCTCTTTTTTTTCAAATTCGATTGGCTCTTCTACCGTTCATTTCGACTGTTCATTTTGTTCTACTACTAAGGGTGTTTAAAGTTACGAAAATGTACAGGAACGTTCAAAAAAGGGTTCATTTGGGTATGAAGAAGTGAAATTGTGGTGTGGATCTGCTCGGATTTATTATTTATCGTAATGTTCAACCTCTGACACCAACACTTCATCTGATGTTCGAAATCAGTCAGTGTGTATTCTGCTCAAACCATTCTGAATCTTTTAGGGGTACTTGACTTTGTTGACAGTCACGGCTACGTGGTTGGTCGGATGTCGAATGGGTTTGCACCGTCGCGCTAAAGATTGCCCTTCATGCCATGATGGCTATGGGCTACGGCCAGGTTGCACTTGGCAATCTACACCGTTGGTGATTGCGCACGCTTTTCATCGGCGTATAATAGATGACAGGGCGGAAGTGGCAAGTGGCAAGCGCTTACCACGCGAGCGGTCCGGGGATCAAATCCTGGGTCGTGAGTCGCCCGGGCCAACCAAGCCTTCCATCCCTCCGGGGTCGGTTAATTGGTACCAGACTTGTCTGGGAGGATAAAAACACTGACTTGTACATCGGCTGGCCCCCCAAGAGGGATTGATCAATGACAAAAGCTTTATCCTTTTTTTATTATATTAGATGAAGTTTGTCTTTGCGTGCAGTTTGTTTTTTTCCCATTCTAAATATTTAGTTCATATTGACTGCTTTTAAAACAAAAATTTATTTTTCAGTTGTACTATGTGCCTGTTTGGTTGGCCTCGCTTCATCAGTGTGGTTCTTGACCTGTTGTGGGGTTGACGCTTTTGGAACCAACGAGCTTCGCCCGCGGCTTGCCAAAAAAGCCTTCTGCTGTCTCTCCTGAAGTCTATGTAGCAGCAGCTGCCAGGAACGAATCCTATACTTTGGGGAAGTATCCCCGGCCGGATACTGCTCTATACGGTTCATGTTATTGGTTGGGTTTTCAAATCGATGTCTGTGACTGATCTATCAATTTCCATCTCATTGTTGTGATTATGTTGTTACAATTTTGTTTTTCATATGTTGTTGTAGTCTGTTAGAGAGAGAGAGAGTTATACGCTATTTTCCGCTTTTGTTACTGGTAGAAAAGGACCGGGTGTATCGATCCTCATCAATGTAGTAATATCCTTGTCATTTGTTGAAAGTTGCTTGTGAAGTATGAGGTTAGTAATAGTATGCAAATAAATAGCTATAGATTGATCTGTTCAGGGATTGGAAAGAGCAAATGCCTAGGTGCTGTCACCACACTTTGGGGAAGATTCAAGAGCGTGGCGTATACTAGAGGACTATTTACCCAAATTGATTCTACTAATGAACAATGACTTTGTTACTGCGTGGAGCTCAACTTATTGAACAGGCTCTTGTTGCTGTATGCTTAACCCTTTGACGACATTGCGGATGCACGTAAGTTGCTCATGGGACCACCTCTGTTTTTGGCCGCGCGCCAACTCTCGTCATAAATGAGCAGGAATGTTCCCAATGCGGTTGTCTATAGAATTTTTAGAAGACTTTCACGGCTATACACGTATACATATAACTGCCAGTTCTGACGCTTCGTAGATGCGGTGTCAAGAGACTTCCAGAATTTGGAAAGGGAACTCGGGTTTCAAAGGGAAGGAGGTCAGAACCTCTCAAGAGAATTTTCGATACACTTGAACCCTTCCCATATCTGAGGGCTATGAGAGGACGAAGAACTCCTGATTGGTAATTAATCTTCTAGCCAACAATGCAAAATCCCAATTAATATGCTGGCGAGCTTCTGATGATAATTATCAGAATACAGTGCGTTTCAAAAGTATGTGCACACCCTCAAAATTCACGTTTGAAAGGGAACCATGAGGTTTCGTGCTATGAAATCCTTCTCAATCGATTTCTCGTAGTCGATAACCTATCAATGGAAGCAAAGCAGATAATATCGCCTCACTTTTCGAAAAAATTTTGGATGAAATTTTTTTCTTTGTTTCAAAAGTATGTGCACACTTGAAGAAGATCAGATTTTGGCGCCGAATTTTCCACCGATTTCAATCCGACTTTGCTGTTTTCATTTCGTCATCATGTCAATTCGCGCCATACTTCTTCCTGAAGATGAGCAAGCTCAGATCAAGGTTCTGCATGATAATGAACGTTCCAATCTAGAAATCGCACGATAACTTGGTCGTTCTCCTTAATGCATTCGAAGATTTATCTGGCACCCTGATAATTATACTCAGCACACACTCCGCTCCATCCACGATCCTTGACTGCTCAGAACAACAAAAGAGTAGCCCACATCCTGTCGGATTCTTCATTGACAGTCCGAGCTCAGATTTTTATTCCAGCCTCGAAAATGACCACTAAGCCCCTCATCCGCTCAAATGAATACACCACTCGACAGACGCTGAGAAAGGCTACTCACTTCAAGGCCCAGCACAAGTTAGCCACATTGGAGTCTGCTCGTACAGACATGGCAACATAGGATAGGACACCGGGCGAAGACACGGTTTTTCGAGAATTTCCTATTTTCAAAACAAGCAACTTTTTATGGACTTTCTCTCCTCAGGTAATCTTAACTCATGGAAAGAGTTCGATCTTGACGGGCCGGGTGGATTTTGCTACTACTGGAGAGGCTTGGCCGTGAGTCGCTCGTGCTCTCGAGAAGGAATTTCGGAAGAGGCCCGTTGATGGGTCTGCGGCGGTTTCGCAATCAGCGGAAATTCAGAAGTTGCCGTTCCATTATTGCGTATGAACTGTAAAGAATACCAAGCAGTGCTCCAATGTCACCTGTTGCCCTTCCTTAGCGAAGCGGAGCGAAAATTGCATTTTTAGCAACAGGACCACGTGTCTTTCGATGCTTCGCAATCTACCAAAGAAATGGCCTTAACCAAATGGTGCTGAAGCGATAGATTGGCTTGTGTGTCCTCCTTACTGCAACCCTATAGGGAGCCCTTGATCAAGGCGTTAACTTTAGCAACCGGCAGTATAATACCGCGGATGAACTGAAGGCGGCGGTAGAGGCTATTTGGGCCGACAGCGACGAAACAGCTATGCCAAACGTGGTTCAGATTATGCCGGACAGGATGTTTGAGCTAATTAGAAACTCTGGAGGCCCCACTGATTTCTAATCTCAGCTATGTTTTTGTCTTTTGTTAAGTGTGCACATACTTTTGAAACAAAGAAAAAAATTTCATCCAAAATTTTTTTCGAAAGTGAAGCGATATTATCTGCTTTGCTTCCATTGATAGGTTATCGACTACGAGAAATCGATTGAGAAGGATTTCATAGCACGAAACCTCATGGTTCCCTTTCAAACGTGAATTTTGAGGGTGTGCACATACTTTTGAAACGCACTGTATATAAATCAGCTCTCAACAAACTCTGTAAGCCGTGCTACTCATAGAATTTTCTTATAGCTAATGGGGCTTACAAATGTTTCAAACGCGCGAATAGGGAATTTTTGAGGTGGCACCTACCATTGTGAGCCATTGTCCATACATAGTGGCACCCACCGGTGGGCCATTGTCGTCAAAGGGTTAAAGGCAGGTTTTACGATGAACAGGTAGCTAGCTCATTGGAAATAAGGGTAGAGGTGGCAGTGGAGCAAGGGACGAAGAAGAAAGCATTAACGGCCTGAAACCCGAGAAATTGGCCCCTTCCTTGCCCATGATTTGCACACTGATGCGACTTTCATCAACACACTACGCTCTCTCTGCTCTCTAATCATCCGTCATGTATAGACCTTGCGGGTGAGTGATTAGATAGTCGGTGGGCGTACCCCGCCAACCGCGCCAACGATGAGCCATGCTAGGTCGCCGAGGTCAAATCTTTCGGCTGCCAGTTGCGCGTTCAGTACGCACCTTAGGAAGGTCACGGTCCACTAGCTAGGTGAATTACTCCTTCTTTGACCCTCACTCTTCTCGTGAATCCTCCTTTAAGGGGGGTCGTATTTTGCCCTCCGGTGGAGTAAGAAAGGTTCTGTCGCGTGGGGTTTCCACGCGCATGGTCCGGGGTTCAGCTCAAACCCAGACCGAGTCTAGCTCATGTCAACTAGGCTTTCATTATTCAGCAACTGGCTCCAATCTCTCTTGGAAGAATAAATACGTAATTCGTAACAAACGCATTCATGTGTCTGACAATTCTGTACAGGAACGGAATACGTGGCTCAAGAGGGGGTGTGCCGGTGATGAATGCCTTAATACTTCTTAATGTGAATCGAACGTCTTTTTTCTAATAAACTAATAATCGAGAAACGTGATCTGATCCGGATGATGACGACCGGTGGCGAGTTCCGGTCCGAAAGTGACTCCGTAGATTGAACACACTCGGCACTCATTTCACTTTTGTCTACGGGCTTCTTAACACACTTTCACAATACTCGTAACAGGATTGGTAATCGGGACCAAATGAGGGCGTCCAAGGTCTCTTAAGATTGCTATTGTACTATGCACTCTCACGTGTTTGAATCACGATTATTATTTATTTTATCAGCGGCGTTGGAGAAATCTAAGGAAGAGCTCATATTCCTTTTTTGCGTTGTCCAAAAACAGACCCAATCATCACTTGTCAGCCACCGCTACTGCCATAATTCCTGCATTCTTGTCCACCTTCAGTTTTCATCAGTGCTCAGAGAAGGAAAATATCAGTATTTCATCTTTCGAAAGCATTTTTGGTAGACTTTCTGTCGAGAAACAAAAATTACATGTTTCTACGCATAAATATAAAATTAAAATTTATAATTATTAACACATTAATAGATTACCAGATATATTTATTTTTTTGTTCTGTGGGTCCGAATTGCTCAGGGATTACTTCAAAGCATGAAAAATTCCAAACAAGCAAAAATTCTTCCTGCAGCATCGCTAATGCATTACCTGCGCAACTGCTTGTTCTGAATGGCATAAGGCAGGTCCAGGTCATCTCAACGTGACTAAGTCTGCCTACTAAATAGTAGAGGGCTAGGTGCACAAGTGCAGAGGTTGCACCTCCTTCGCGCCTTGACACGCGTCACTAGGACGTTAGGCGCCAGGGATTTGGATCATTCTGCACCAAGAAGGATCAGAGCCCACCCACCGTTCAACAACTCACCCGGGTTCCACACAGGAGGCCCGTCGCTCGGCAAGAAGACAGAGTCAACGAACGAGTTGCAGCGCGTGCTGTGCTGTGCATACACTGGTACATCTACATTAACTCGACGCGAAATCGCTACAGTACGCAGCTGCGACTCGTCCGCTGACTCTGCCTTTTTACTGCACGACGGGCCTATGTCGGGGTACCCAACTTGATCCATGTCGTAATGCACGAACCTGACAATGCTCTCTGCACTGGACTTCTTTTCCCTCTCACATTAATCCTTTATCTCGCTGTTGCTCTTCGGCTCGGCCCAGCATAACACAAGGACAAGTTCATATTTCTGTACTTTGTTGAAATTTATTTCCCCTTTTGCCACTAAAGGTACACATCAGATCCCTACCTTAATATTCGAGTAGAATTATCAAATAAATTTTATCCTGGACCTTGCCTTTAGCACCGCCACGAATCCCTCTGAAAGTCTCAATACACGGTTCCCTTACCACAATTTAACATAGCTACACATGATGAGATGTAATGTAACTGTCCACCCGAAGATTCCAGAGCTGATCCCCTTCGTTCCGTGTTAACACCGCTAACGAGTGGTAGAATTGATAACTCCGTCTGGTGTCAATCTAGGGATGGAGGGTTCGGTTAACCTGGTCGGGATTCGATCTCGGATCCGCCAACGGATATGCGTGGTCTCCAGCACTGCTCGAAA